AGTGATCAATTTTACATTTTTTTTAGAAAAAGGAAGCTAGCTTCAACACCAAGTCTTCAAGACTTAATGACCCAAGCAAAAGTATGTCCGAGCTTGCGTTTCTCTGGGATGAGTTGCTGAAGCGTCCTAGACGAAATCGAAACTAATCTATTTCAGCTTTGATGAGAATATCTTTTGAGAAGCAAGGCTCTGGGCAATTTACTGAAGACAAGAGGTCTTTTCACATAATTGTGGAAAATTTCCTCTACTGGCCCTTCATCACTTTAAAAGAAATACGATGAATACCGTTCCTACATAAAATCTACTTGTATTCTCTAAAACCTACTTATGATACGAAAAATAAATCTCAGCCAGTAATAATTTTAATATATAAGATATATTAATTCGATTTCGTTTAAGGTTATGAAGGACTGGTACTCTCGAAACCCTACTTATAAACGAAAAACAATTTCATTTCAGTTTATCCATCAAAACTCGCTTTAATTTCATATATGGCAATTTCACCCTGTCTTGCCATCTACGCTTGCTGTAGTTTAAGCAGCAGATTAAGATTACTAAATTGAACGTCCTCATTAAAATCAACATCGGTTCGTGTACGGCCAAGTTCTTTTAATTCATTATTAATAAGCAGTTTCTTTATCTATTTTGCAGGGTCGGCCTATTGACGGATTCCGATTGGCTGAGGCAACATATACAACTGTCTATACACGCCTCGGTCTACAATACCAGACTCCTGAAGCTTTTTTTGCTGATGGACGATATCGATCACTCGGCTACATGCGTCCCTTGGCTATCTGGAGTATCCAGCATGTTCTCTCTAATCTGCCTCATCGTCTACACATTCCTTCCTCACTCTCCGTAGCCTCATTCCCCATATCCGTCCTCCCTAATCGCGCCGAATACCAGTCTGACGAAAACCACTCTGAGAAATCAACGTTGATAGGAATTTTTAGGAAATCCAGCTCGCATCAGACCAAGGTGACGTCGCATCTGGACACAAGGACGGTAGTTACTTCGTATTTTCCTGCTGACGAGTCTTCTGTTGCTCTGACCTCCAAAGTTTAATATAAACTCCCAGACATCAAGACTCAGTTCTTCAGGTAAGCTGAATATTAAGACGTAAATAGAAAACAATGGGTAATCTAATCGAAGATATCATGATCGAGATGTTGTAGCCCTTAGTATGGTCGCGGTCTCCTTTGGCTGTATCTAAGTTGTTTGACTTAATTTTCGTAACTTAGTTTAGGTCTCCTTAATAAATACTACCAAATTGCAAAGGTTAGGCCAAAGAACTTCTATAGTTAATTTACGTTGTTTCTCATTTTAACCTCCATGACTTTCATAACGGGCAAATGTCATTTCAAAGACATGGCTTTCCATTTCGAAGGAAAAGTTGGTTGTAAGGAATTCGTGATGTGGTCTCACCGGAAACTGAGGGAGGTTTGCCACTTAGGGAAGATTGTTGTTTTGTGCAAGGAAGTCCTTCGTTCGCCGGCCTGCAACCCCGATGAACATATACTAAGCTTTCGTCCGTATTGTAGATGTGAAGACGAAAATGGTGTGGCCTTCTGTTTGATTGCAGTCTCCTTTAGCCTTATAGTGTTTGTTCGACCTTATTTTAGCAACTTGGTCTTAGTGTCAGGGAGACCTTGTAGAACGTACCTGGTCCTCTGCCATAATATTCGTGATTTCCAGCATTGGACCGTTGGCTAGGTACATTCCCAAACCTTTCGCCTGCATCGTAGTCGGCATTATCAGTGAGAGGCGCCATCGTAAGCACACAGTTACAATTTATCAAAGTTACAAGTGAAGGCAATTCCCTTGACCACTCCTTTTTTTCAACCCCACTTTATTTGCCTCTTCCACCTATTCACACAATTTTGTGCTATCGTTTCCTCCAAATCCGTCTAAGAATGTGTCGCTACAAGTGGGTTTAATGAAGCATAATTTCCTTCACTACCGATACCAGATGCCGCTTGCAGGGATCATGACCTACAATCTGCTCCCTTTCTCCTACCCCGTTAGTCACTTGGTCGCTGCTAAACATCAAAATCGCTGTCTGGCTGTCTGGAATCTGGCTTCATAAAAGCCTTCAATTCCTGTTCCTAATTACGCCATATTCGAGGATCCAGAGCAGATGATGCCCATGTCCATGCCCATGCCAGTGTCTAGGACTCCTTAGGCTTTAGGCCCATGACTCGATTATCCTCTCTCTCATCCCAACCACATAGTGTCTCATTCTTTGAGGCCCTGTGTCCGGCTTAAGTCATAACCATTGATGCGAAAATGCGCCGTTTCCTTTTTTTCTTTGAACAGCGAAAATCATACTCGTGCCTCAAGTTTCGTCTGTATTGTTACAGACATGATCAGAGCAAGAATACATGCTTTACGAAATAGAACAAAAACATACTAAACCAAGAGAAAAGGTGGCAACCCCGCCGACTGCAACCTTATTTGCCATTTTATACATCTTTGCGATTTTAATGAGGCATCCCATGATTTGGTTCGCTACTTCAACCTTACTCCACATGCTTGTAAATGAGTGAAGTTATTTCACAAACCGGAAGTACGCTCGGTGGCAGCAGTTTCCTTACCCAAATAAACTAGCGTACGATCCTCTAATGTTGATTCATGTTTGGGCTTGTACTATTGTCTATTGTATGTATGTAATGTTCGTGTCATGAGAGTTGTGATATAATTCCAGCTAG